CAAAAGTGAGCATATCAAGAGAATACTTGATCTGAGATTTGAAAGGGGGAGAATGCAGGGAAGCTACTTTTACAGGCCTTGAGAACAGAAGAGACGGCATCAAGGTTGTGGGGAAGTAACACACCTTATGCCTCCTTCTAACAACTGCTCCATTGGAGACTAACGGGCCACTGATGTTACTGGTTAACAATGGTGCCCCTTCGCTCAGGTTGTAGCGGATCTGTGGTTTTGGTGCTTTAGGGCTGTGGCTCAAACTCTATTGAGGATTTGTATGGGGTGTTGGACCCAGAAGCACAGCTAGGAGACAAGAAGGGACGGTGCATCTGTCTTTCCTTTTTATTTTTAACAGTATTACTAAGGACTTTTGCATAAAAATAGCATCTCCATTTCTTCAAGGTGAACTGAAATGTTCCTTTTAAAAATAAGCAACTTAAACTGAGCTCCCAAATTATTAAGGTCCATGTAGACTTAACCTTGCTACTTATTAGTATATTTTATCCCATCTCTGATTTCCTCCCACATGTCACAAACAAGAACATCTTGCTTTGAACTCTCCACCTCTCCTGTCCTATGTGCACAATCGTTCCTGTCTTGTGCATATATTGTGCATTCACTTAGCTTCCCCCTTGGCTGGAGGATTTAATGGCTCCTCTTACAAGGTTCAGCTAATCTTTAGAGTAGCCCTAGGCCGTGCCATCTTCTCTGTTGATCTGGAGCTTGCATAAAGGCATGACCTGTAGTTCTGATTGCAGTGCAATTCGTTCTAGGTCTACGACAATGTGCAGTTTCTCTGGTGTTACATGACGTGGTAAGGAAAAATGATTCAGAAGTCTGCCTTGGTTATTTATATGGCCCTTGTTACCAGAGCATCAGAGTGCCCTATGTCAGATAGGGAAGCATTTTTAGCACCATTTTACGGATGGGGAGAAGAACGGGGGCATGGAGAGACAAAGTGACTTGCCCACGGTCGCACAGGAAGCTTGTGGCGTGGCAGAGCAGTGAATAGACTTGGGGTCTCCCAAGTCCCAGACTAAAACCTTAATCACTGGGCAAAGGGGAAGGGAAGCATGTTCCAGCAGAGGGACTCCGATCGCATCTCTTGCTCTTGTGAACCTTTGGAAAATAAACCACCACAGAATCTAGCAAAATGTTATGACACTTCAGTAATCTCCTAACTACAGGTGGGCTGGAATTTCTCAATTAGGGTGGGCAGGTACACCAGGCACTAACAATGTGCCAAAAGGTCTTTGAAGATCACAAATGGCCAAGAGCTGGGTTTTACATCTCAGATCCCAGCTCAGAAAAGCACTTAATGTGATGGATGCTTCCATTGTGCTCTGAGAGACGAACCACTAAAGGAAGGTTCAAGTGGGCTGAGTTCATTTTCCTTTTAGTATCATGGCCCTGGTTTAAGGACCTCATAAGAATGGCCATATTGGGTCAGACCAAAGGTCCATCCAGCCTAGTATCCTGTCTACCGACCGTGACCAATGCCAGATGCCCCAGAGGGAGTGAACCTAACAGGTAATGATCAAATGATCTCTCTCCTGCCATTCATTTCCACCCTCTGACAAACAGAGGCTAGGACACCATTCCTTACCCTTCCTGGCTAATAGCCATTAAAGGACTTGACCTCCATGAATTTTATCTAGTTCTCTTTTAAACCCTGTTATAGTCCTAGCCTTCACAACCTCCTCAGAAAATAAGAGCTGATTCATTCCTCATTTCCCCACAAAAGCAGCCCTACACACCACAGTCTCACCCCAGTGTTTCTCTCCTCCTGCCCCTTATTCCTTTCCAGAGGGGACTTGGAGGTTTTCTACCCAGAACTGGGAGACGTTGGCTGCACATACATCCCCAAGTGCAATCAGTACCGGAAACGGATCAGCAAGGAGTGGCGCAGCCCAAAGATTGCGTATCCACAGGCTGACAAGGTAAAGCCTAAATCAAATCCCTTATGTGTAGTTGCACGGGGCCATACTGAAGAATCTGTGGGCTTTTGTCTAGGTATTTGGATTGTGGATTAAACGTGGAGAAATTTCTCATGTGATCTTGAATCACAGTTTGCCTTAAATGGGAGGTATTTATTAGAGAAAATAGCTACCACTTATAGATAGGCACTGACAGGCTTCCACACAGCTCAGGCTCCAGCCTTGTTTCCCAAGGACCATACATCCCTGCCTGGAACTCCACACTGCGCACAGACTCTAGTGTCTGAATAATACACTGCAAGGAAGTGCATCATCAGGAGACGGTGTCGTTTGGGAATCAGGGAACAGGAATTCAATAGTCAAGTTTTCTTAAAGGACAAGGGCTATATGTACACTGGGGATCCTAATTTCTTTGTGAAATACTCAGCCATATATCTCTATAACCTGAAGTTTTTTCACTGACCCCCTCAACTGATGGGATTGTAGCTAGTAATCTGTGCTCTGCATAAAACATTCCCCCAGGGAGGGCGCTAAGTGGTTGGTGTTGAGCCCAGAGAGAGCGTTTAAACTTATGCGCTCTGCGGGTGATACTTGTGTTGTGGAAGAAAACCAGCTCTTGCTTCAGTCGAGCATCAAAGTCCAGCTGAGATGCACTAAGTGAAATAGGAGATTCAGATTCTGGGTGGGACTTTCACAAAAAATTCCTCATTGGTCTCTGTCTGTCTGCTTCTATTGTCTTCAGTGGAAAAAGCCTCCACTGGCTGCATTGTGAGCAGAGGTGGGCCAACAGGTGCGCATATACCCAGTGGACTTGGCCCTGGCATCTTCACAAAAGTGAAATTCCATGGCTGTTGGACATAAATGTCAGATCAAATGTAACCATAGGTTCTTTTTTGTAACTGTGCTAATTCACTGACACTTAACAGGGAGTGCAACTTGGCTTGCTGCTTCTTGGTTTCCAAATTCCCTAGCGCTTTGGTTCAGATTTCACTGGTATTTATTTTTGAAGATAACTGCTCAGTTGGCTTTTTCTGCCCAATCCTTTCATGGATGGCTGCAGCAATTTAAAGTAGGACTTTTTGGTTCTTGTGAAAATATAACAGGGAGTGCTTGTGAAAAATCTCACTGTCTGCACTTAAACCACATGAATTCTATTAAGATATCAGGTCTGCTTTTTACAAACATGATTTTAAATGAGATTTTTCTTGCCTGTGTTACTAGTGCCACCTTGGATATTAAATCTGACCACTTAAACAATTTCCTTTTACTTCTGGAGCTGCTCACTACTTGTATTCCACTGCTCATGGATAACCAAATTAGACTGATAAGTGGGGTGAAGTAATATCTTTTACTGGGTCAATTTCTGTTGGCAAAAGAGACAAGCTTACACATAGCTGGTCTGCAAAAACAAAAAAACCCCAACAACTCTAGGCTGGTCAATTTCACTTTGGTATCTAGTCAGTGTCACTTCCTGACTCTCCTGCATTAGTTCAAAGCTGCAGGATTTTGGTTGCAAACCAATTGTCTGGCAGATTTTTTTTTTTTTTAAGTTCTCTTGTTTGGGTTTAGGTTTGGTTTGAATTGAAGTAGAAATGAACTTGCAAATATCTTTATTTGGCTTGGTTTTGCAAAACTTTCTTTTCCCCCCAAAACCTTAGTTTGGGAGCTATATTACTGGACCGTGTCCCTGACACTGTTTGTGCCACTGTCTTGTAAAGGCAATGGTTGGTCTGTTGAAACCACTGGCTACGCAGCCAGAATGAACTGTGGGTTGTTGTAGTAGTGCGTAACTGCAGATTTTTTGTAACTTGTGCAAACTGGACACTTCACACAGTCTTGTCGCTTTATTGGCTGAGAGACGCCATATAACACTCGCCATTTAAATTGTAGTCTGGAAACAATTGCACCTCCTAACATTTGTATGTGCATTAGAGGATGACCTGTCCTGCCCATCTCTGCACTGCATTGGTCAGGCGGTAGGAGGTGTCAATCAGATTCAAAGACTAGCTCTTGTTTCTAAATGACACAGCTTGGTGTAGCTGCACTGGGGTCTTTCCCCAGGCTCCTGTGTCCTGTCAAGGGGCACATGGAGTGGCTGTACTGCAGTAGCAAGGGCTTTGGAAGAAGTGACTCAGAGCTGCTGATGACCCAGTCCCCAAACCACCTAGGTGAATGCTCGGCACAGAGCATAAGCCAGTTTTCAGGGAGAGATGGAACAGCAACCGCAGGCCCTGCAGGAAGGATACAGGTGTGTTTTGGCTCAGGCGGTGCTCCAGACAAGAGGGAGAGGGGCTGGTGGTATCTGAAAGGGAACAGGAGGGAGGAAGGTTTAGGGGTGAGGTTTGTTCTGGAGACCCATTTCTATAATAAATTATTTGACTGGGTTAAAGCAGATAACGATGTCTGGATCTTTGCTGCTGGCAGAGGGCCTCCGTCATCTGCCTGAGAGCCTCCTCCACTTCAGTCCCTATGGCAATCAAGAACCAGCCTGGGTGTCTAGCGACCGCGCATCGTACTGCCTTGCAGGGGCATCGCAGCTTGGGGGCCGTGCTTGGTCCCTCACTCCAGGACTGGGAGTGCTCCGAAACTCAGTGAGGGAGCACCTGGTGTTATCATGGAGGCATGGAGTGGTTCTGATGGCTTCTGGAAAGAGATCTATCCAAACCACTGTCTGATGGAAGATCACTGTGAGGAGAGCCATTGGCTGTATGGGAAAAACGCTGAATGGCTCTGGGCTCGGGCACTGGCAGGATGGGATATTCACCGCACTGTGAGTTCCTGGGATGGAGACCCTAGTCTAGGAAAGGGATTCACTGGCTGCTGTGCTTGGCAAGCTAGAGGGTGTGAAGCAGGAAGCCCCTGTGGGTGGGCACTGGGCAGTGAGATATCGTGGTTGTCAGCAACGTTCTGCATCATTACAGCTCTTGACACCACAAAGAGGGAAACACGTGACTAAATGTGACCCAGCAGTAAATCCCCTCTTCCCTTCTAGTTCTTTCCCACCTGTCTGTTTGGTAACCCAGCTGGTTAACCAAGCCTGCTTGGGGAATAAGCTACTTCTAGCACGGTAGCGACCCCTATTGGGCAATGGAGAGAAGCCAAGCTTTTGCTTTGAGTGAGACTTGTACTGTGTTGGCCGAATGCAGCTGTGCTGGAATAAACCCTGAAGGCTTCATGACAAACTCAAAGGATGGGCTGGGTTCAGCCAACCTGACCCAGTGCAGGAGCAGGGGGAACCGGGGATCTGAATCTCTCGAATGTTTGGGAGATTGAAATCTGATCCTGGATCCAATGTTTGTAAATGGGCCCAATCTTTACACTGGGCCCAGGTCTGAATTTTGTGTTTTGCTTCCCCCATCTCTGCTTTTGAACCAACTTGGATGAGTGTCACCGAACAAAGCTTGATGGGTTTAATCCCAGACCTAGGAAATTTTGTGATTGAACCTGAATCTTGGGTGGTCTCTGAAGTGAATTCAAACCTAATGTTTCCCTGGGCCCGCCAGGGGGTATCCCTACACTCCAGGAGGGAAGGGTCTCAGAGCCTGGGCTCCAGCTCAAGCCCAGATGTTTACACTGCCATTTTATAGACGTGTCCCCCCCCACCCCCCTGCCCTAGCTCTGTGAGCCCAAATCAGCTGGCATGGACCAGCTGCGGCTGTGCTATGGGTGTTTTATTGCAATGTAGACGTACCCTGAATGTCTTCCAGATTCTCTTCCATTGGCTCTTTAAACTGGACTCCTCAATTAGCCAGAGCTCTTTAGGACAGATGAGCAGCAATAGCTTCACTGGCTCAGTCTCTTGATATTTCCATTCTTTGGCAGGGGAAATTAAAAGCTGGGCCCTGATGAATGGGCCAAAGCGAAGTCAGCCAGGAGCTTGGTGGGCTATTCAGAGTGGTCCAGGAACAGTGGGATTTGATTACCCTTGTTGTGGCCTGGGGCTGGTCAGACTCAAAGTAAGATACCGTCCCTCTGCCAAGGAGCTTGCAGCCTAAGTAGACACCGACCGTCTGCTGCTCGCTGGACAAAGGCTCTTGTGTGGTTATTCCTTGGGCATTGTCGCTGAAAGGCTTTCAAGAAAAAAGGCATCTTAAGGAGGGTATTGGAATGAAGAGAGGCTGTTCCAGGCAGGAGTAGCAGCAGAGAGGGGACACAAGGGTGAGATGCAGGCTGCCGGCTAGTTACGCAGCTAGGCGATCTGAGCTTCACGTCCTGTCTAGCCATAAAGGAGAAATAAACAGTTGAACGTCACCAGAGCACAACCGTCACTGTAAGCCAGCACACTTAGCCTGGTGTTTTTCCTGCTGCAGCATGTATGTTGCAAACCAGTAAATAACCTTGAGACTGATACCAGCGCTTCCAGACTTTGCATTGACTTTCTATGGATGTAAAGGATGACACAAGGCGCTAGGCTGTGCAGAATCTGACTCACGCTGTTTAAAGTGCAGCATTCTCCTTCTTCCGTTCTGCATTGGAGAGGTGGGTGTGGTACAGCACGTGGGGATGCTGTTGTATGAGAGATTTGCAAGCCATGTGAAATGCTTGCTGTATTTGTAGAAGACTGCTAGATGGCACCATTGACCTTTTATTCTCCTTGCAAGCACTCCAGGGAGGATGGAGATGGAATGGGGCCAGGGATGCTCGGGTTACTCAGGTAGCAAGTACTCTGGGTTCTCTTATGACCACGTGGTCAGGACCTCCCGCTTGCATCTCATCTGAAAGGCAGCACAGTGCCCTTAACACCACCTGAAGAATCACCATTGCTGTCCCGGAGTGGTACACGGGTTTTCCATTCTAATATAGAGCAGCCCTGACCTTGCTTAGCAGCTAACAGGCTCACATTGCATGATGATCATCCTAAAGGATATGCAAGCAAACAAATATCCACAGTCCATTGACTCCTCTTCTTAATACTTTTCCTGTGTATCTGATAGAACACGGAGATGTCCTGGTTTCCCATTGATTACTGTGCCAGTCACTCTTTTCAGCACTGGAAACGCAGC